TTCTTGCTCTAAAACTCATAACTTTCTTTCAAGGCATCGTACAAGCCGGAAAAGGTGGGTCCAAGAATAGTGAGGGAGGAAACGTTAATTTTTTGCGGTTCGAGGAGTGAAGGTGAATCGAAAACTAACTAATGCGGTCTAGGGGCCAGAAAAATGTGAATGGAAACTGATGAAAGACGAGAGGGGACACTCTCATGGTGAGAGGCACCTGTGAGATAGACCGGTGTAAAACGAAACAGTGTCAACTTCGAAAATTTGTGCTCAGAAAACGGAAAAATGCATAGAAACTAATGAAAGATCTGTGGCTGTTCCCGTTCGGTCCAGGGATAGGGAAAAAATCCTTCAAATTCACTAGTTCTCTCGCTTTGAACTCGGCTTGGGTTACTGGATGTCGTGTAGGTTCAAGCATCAGTCGCGGATTCCGCGTTGGGCGTCGTGTTAGATTTATTTCGAGTCAGGCCTATTGGACAGGCCTATTGGAGGAGTCAGCTTGGAAGGGTTTTCTTAGAGTTTTAAGTAGTTCCGGAAAGTTTAGGGAATTTTCAAGTAATTTGAAACTTCAGATAATCAAGTTTGTTTACCACCTCATTTGTGAATTGTTCCTCTGTTCGATGAAGTTTTTGGAAAGTGGGAGGTAGTGGATTCGTAAGGAGACAGTGTAAGGAATTTTTTGTGAGGCCATGCTTGAACTGTGTCACTGTGGGTGCAAAAGCATTCTGTTTCGACCCTGTTTTCCTAGTGAAACTTCTTTGTCATTCTGGAGAATACTGTAATTTTGAATAAACATGCTTCAGGTCGAACAATTGACATTTTTGATGAGCTTCTTTTTGAGCAACTTCTTGAAGAGGCTCGCCAGCAGGGATATCGACATGTGTATGCGCTTCAGGTGGGCACTATGATATACAGGGGTGGCCAAAAAAAAGAGACACTCAGCCCATGGCGCACATCATCGAACTTTTCGTCACACAGGGAGCCGATGTTAATGAAAGTTTTATGGCGTTATATTCCTTAGTTGTTCCTCCGTAAACAGAAGCAAGCACTCCTTCACTGCCCCTGCCGTCTCCAGAATATGACGTCATCTGCCGTCACCGTCGAGCTCAACGAGGCTTACCGAAATCGCTCCGACCTGAAGCTGCTACACAATTTCCTCAGTGAATTAATTGTTGAATAGCTTCCCAGAGACATTAGCTGTGAATGTGCAAAACCGCTTTTGACCTGCGTTTCAGAGACGTCGTAATCGTCTATGGTATCTCAACGACCTCGTTGAGATCGTACCGCGCACAATGCTTCCGTGGGAAAATCTTCTGATGTCGTCGGTGTAGAAGGCTGTTGTGTAGCTTGTTGATAGATTATAACGTGCTCTTCAATATTCAGTTGGGGTCATTTGGTTTGGTTTCGCGACGCGTAAATAATTCCGTTTTGAATGTTGAGTGAAGTGTCTCTTTTTTTTTGGCCACCCCTGTATATTGCTATGAAGGCAAAAGAAGTGCACGGCGAAGTTGTTGCTTTTAACGATCGTGATAAGTAACATTATACAATTGATTTTTTAGAACTTGTGTATATGTAGAGTATCGTTTGTGAAAGGATTCGGTAAAAGTTATCGTCGTACGACTATACTTGATACGCCCTGCTGGATAGAGATTCACTTCATGAATTATCTTCAAAAATTGGATGAGGTAGGAAATATCATACATTAGTAATGTTGTTCGAAGTGCATATTATGTAGGGGTGGAAATGATTTTTCTGTTGAGTTATGAGTGAGAATTTTTTGCTAGCTCAACAAGAAAACTAGAAAATAGATTACCTCTAATACCCTCTCGAGAATGCTGGAATTCTAGCGCTGCCTCAGGACCTGATGACGGTTAATCTAGTGGCGAAAGTGTTAGAAAAAATGGCGTAGGGGATGAGGTCGCAGCTTAAAGGCTGCGATTCAGTGCATGTTTATGAGTTGCACTCACCAATCTTGACTTTGACATCTTTTACAACGAAAACTATAAATTTTCCAGTTGTCTTAAAAACTAAGACCAAGCAGTTTTTTGCATTAGCGGTGATTGCCCGCATCTTTTGCCTTTCCAGGCGCATAGCTCCCCGGTTACTTACCGGGGCCACATTTCACCCCACTCTCGCTGCTATACGAAGTTATTGCATGGCATTACACGTATAATCGTATAGTCGAGATCTACAGTGAACAGCAAGGCTGCAAGCAGGGTCAACCGTCACGTTGGACCGATTTCGAAAATTTTACGACCCCCTCCCCCTTCTAGAGGGCCTCGATACGACCCCCCCCTCAGGGTCAACCCCCACCCTCGCCTGCCATCGCCATCATGGGGCTCATTCTATAGTATTCGATTCTGAGACCAGTCGACACAGCCCAAACTCCGCCCACTTTTTTCCTCCAAAATTACCGTCGAGCGGGGCTTATACACACCATGAAACCGGCAAAATTTTAGCGCGCCAACCAACTTCCTTTACTGTAATCCATTACCGGCCACTCCGGCGAAATACGACCCCCTTTTTTCCAACCCCGGCCCCTCCCAACCGCTGCGCGACTTTGTGCACGCCGGTTGACCGGGCCTGCAGCCCTCTATTTTTTCACCACTTGTGATTACTTTTTATTCTTTCGATTGAATTAAGCTGCTGTTTTACTTCGCACCCTTGTGCTTGCGGAAAATGATCACGAGAATGCCGCGTTATGGGCAGAAATTTTCGCCCTCAGCCAGGATTCGTGCCCGCTCCTAGCTTCCCGAGCAATTATGCTACCAGGCAATTAATTTTCCACTGTTTTTCATTTCTCTTCTTTTCTCTTTCAGTGGTAGTCCACTTCAGTTGCATGGTATGGCTTCAGTTTATACGTATTTGATCCCTGATCTGATGATTCGCAGAAAGCGTCGAATGGTCTCAAAGGGGGATTTCACGATACTGACGAGGGTCAAAGAAGGGGGAAGCTCACCTAGCGAAGGGACAAACGGACTACCTGTAGTGACCGGACCACGCACTTCGGTCGCGAAAGGTATGCTCGCGGCGATTCGAGCATGGGCCTTCCCGCGTTGCAGTTGTCGCGCTACGATGCAGGTTACTCCCCCTACCGCTCGTCTCGAGCGTCTGAGCTCCGTCCTGAGCAGAGAGAGAGGAGAGACGTTAGCGTTGAAGAGGGCAGCACCGATGAGAGTCGCATCAATGCGAACGGGCAAGGGAGGAGTTCCATTTCTCGAGTTCTAGGACATTTTCTCGTCTGCTTTCGTGCATCACTGACCACCTCTAACTTGATTTCCAATAGGCTGTTTTTTTCAGCGTGAAATCCGCCTTAAATTCAAACTTTCAGGTTCTCTCAACGCTTCCAACACCTGCACATGATGTTCACAGCTTTTCATGAAAAATCTGGTAGTGATTGTATAGTAGTGCCTATGTAATTTATTTATTAGTCGTTTCCATTATTGTGATTGAGAAATTTGTCATAGACTTTTATAGTGAATCGCTCGCAAGGTGAGCATTCGTAGATTTGTATAGATTTTTTTGATTAACAAATATGATGAGTGTGTTGTACAGAATATTGCTATGAATCATTTTCTAATTAACAAGTGTTACGATTCGCTCTCAAAATAGTGTTCTTGGAAATCTTTATCGCAATATGTAGACTAGTTGGAAATTGAGAGGTTATTGTGTAATTTTTCTGAAGCACACACATCGAGTTATGCTGGTACACTTTCTTGATCGAATTCGAAGTCGAAGAACAATTTGACGGCATCATCCTTGGCGGCTTCTCTTGGTCCTTCGTAGACGATCTGAACATTCAATTAAAAATCGGCCCTGAAAGTATCTTTTCAATGGCGAGAGACTACACTTTACTGGCTACCCATTTGAAAGCGCGGTACAATGTCTCACCACACCTTACAGGCTTCACGGTGAGCGTGACCCACCAGCGGATCACGTTTTTGCAAAAGCATGATTTCCGGTTTTTTCATATCCTTTCCTATATGCTTAGCATACGGGAATAACTTCGTTTCAAGAGTATCGGATCACAACATCTTCACCCATTGTGCGACGAAAAGTTTGCTGATACGCGCCATGTGCAAAGCGACTTTGCCTTCTTCCCCTTCACCTCCCCTCCCCCTCCCTCCCTCCTGTATACTCTGTATGTAGTTCCATTGATTCCAGCGATTGGAGCGATGGAAAGCGATTGTAGCAAAGTTCAGCTTGCAACCACATCATAACTCCCAGTTTTGCTCCGCTCGCTATCGCGCGCATGTGAACATAGGCTTCAGCGAAACTGAGTATAGCCGGGCGATTGTATTGAGTAATATACTACGATGGCATTAAGGAAATCAGATGATAAAGTAGTTTCTCATAGTTCGTCAATACCAATAAACATCCATCATTTTTCTGGAACTAACAAAGTCTAGCAGCCGAATGAGTTTGGATAACTAATACAATTACTTGGGCTGCTTATTATCAGCCCTCAGCGTAAACATCTACCATGCTTGGGTATTATGATAGTGAAGAGATAGATTTACCAATAGTTCGTCGTAGTTTCCACAGACGCTGACCATTTAAGAAGCTCGGGCAGATTAGCGGTCGAATGGAATCACGACTGCATCGCGAAGAAATCTATCAGCCCCTATCGGCTGTTATCCTTTTCTGATCCTCATCAAATATATTCCCGTCCCACCCCTCGGAATCATATCTGCGAGACAATGCCTCAATGCTGCTGGGCCTTGCGCTGTGTAACTTCGTGACATGTGCGTTCGAACACTTCTTATCAGCCCGATCAGCTGTTATCACTCCTGACCACACCAGATAATGTTCCCGTCCCACCCCCTACAGTATACTCGGAATAGACGCCTCATGCATGTGGTCGCACCCATGCGTTTGTGATTTCCGCGTACTACGCTCCCTATCAAGTTGTCGTCACTTTTCTGGACCTCCCTAAATATGTTTCCGTCCCACCTCTTACATCATGCTTAAAACGCAGCGAACCATGGCTGCAGCGAAGTGCGCTATGAATTTCGTGACGAACACACGTACACACATGCACACGCACAGAAATACTTAGCGAATTATATTTAGTAGGAGAGTAGCGATGGAATAACTTCTATGTCGGTGATGAGATAAGGAAATGAACGATAACATCGTATATGTCCCAAAGATCGCCATTTAACCCATTCGCGACAATGTCAGCCACCGGTGGCTGACGCGAAGATGTCCACTTCGGACCATGTCAGCCACCGGTGGCTGACGGGCTTTAAATGGAATTTTTGAAAACAAAAGGAGGTCTCTGGGAGATTTTCTTTGCTGTGAAGAATCTTCATACCCTCATCTATCTAGGCCACCCCTGGGCAAAGGAAATCTCTATCCACTAGAATTTTATTGAAGAAAAAATAACCTGACTTAAAAATTTCACCGAAAAAGTTGAAAATTTTTTTCCGCTGAAACTTTTCCCATGGGGGTTTTCGAGGGTCCTGATCTCAAATATGATATCCATTTTTGGCGCTGGCGCCAAATTGGCGCCATTTGGCGCCAGTTGGCGCCAAGGGTGTATTCACCAAATTCGCTGTAAACTTGCGTATGGGGGTTATTTGAGGCCCTGATTACGAATATGACATTCGTTTTATCGTTAGCGCTATTTAACACCTGTTTCCTGCTCGCCTGCACCTTCTCACTATTGGATCCAATCAGGACTAACAAGGGGGGTCGTTCAGGATGTTGAAAGCTTTTTCGAAACGGTTTTCTGTATGTTATGGGAGCTCATGCGTAGACTACGAAACCGAGGTATATTTTCGCTGAGCGGCCCCGCGAAGGCCAAAAAAGGTGAGGAAATGGTCCAAGGTTCAATCCCTCATAATGACAAAATTTTTGCATTTAGGTTGGAGCTTCCCAATTTGCTCTAAAAACACCAGGAATAGATATAATGTTCATTATAAAGACCATCAGTAACTAGTGCTTTCAGATTTTCACCATAATGTGGCGGAAAAAAGTTGTTACGCCAGAGGGGCGCCAAATGGCGCCGTAGCGCAAATTGGCGTAGCAAGTGGCGTAAATTTTAGCAATCAAAAAAATGAATGTCATATTCGTAATCAGGGTCTCAAATAACCCCTATATACAAGTTTACATCGAATTTGACGAAATTCAGTCAGGGCGCCATCTGGCGCCAAATGGCGCCAATTTGGCGCCAGCCAAAAAAATCTCATATTCGTAATCAGGGTCTCAAATAACCCCTATATACAAGTTTACATCGAATTTGACGAAATTCAGTCAGGGCGCCATCTGGCGCCAAATGGCGCCAATTTGGCGCCAGCGCCAAAAATGAATCCCATAATCGTGATCAGGACCCTTGATAACCTCTATAGGGAAGTTTCAGCGTGAACTACGGATGGCATATAGAAAAAACTAAAAAAATACAAGATGGATTTCCCCTGGGACAATGTCAGCCACCGGTGGCTGACATTGCGCAATCGCCTCTGCCGGCGCTGGTCCGAACGGGCAGTCTTCGAAAATCCCGCCCGGTCGCGAGTGGGTTAAGAAGATCGAGCGATTAGCGGTCGATTGGATCACGACGATATCGCGAAGAAATGGGATTTTTCCTAATCGGAAAAAAGTGCTATCCATCTGGATAGGAAGTTCTATCCATCTAGATAAAAGTTCAGCGATATTCGCATTCCAACGATCTTTATCAGCTCCTACCAATAGTTATCACTTTCTC